CCCCCCGGCAAGGGCTGGCTTGGCCTCTGTCTCCGGCTGTGGCTGCCCGCCCACTCTCGATGCCCTCCGAAGAGCTGACCCCACCTCACCAGCACCAGGCAGCTGGGAGCCACCCGCTGGCCCTGTCTAGCAAGCAAGAGACTGGTGTCCCAGCTTTGCCTCAGTCGAGAGACCCCTCTCAGTGAGAGGACACGTCCTACTCAGAGACCACTGGCAGGGGCCACCCAGACACAGCCGCAGCCCCAGCCCTGTTCCTAGGGCAGCGCTGGGCCAGTGAGGCCCCGCCCCTGCTCCCCAGAGCCACGGCTCAGGCGGGCACACACTGAGGGCACGGGGAGCCTCACCCTCGCCCCTCGGGTCCTGCCTCCTCAGCCCACCCGCCCACATCCTGGGAGCAAGGGAACCCTCACCCTCGCAGGTGAGTCTCTTTTTTTGTTAATCTTTTCGAAACTTTTTTTGAACTTTGTTCTGTGGCAAAATATATGTGGCCTGGGATGTGCCCTTCTCACCCACGGCTGTCCGACTCGGTGGCACGAGCGATACCCAGCAGGCGGCCCTCGGCGCGGTCTGTCTGCAGAGCATCTTCACCGCGGGAACAGACAGCACCCACCGGAGAGTAATGCCCGCTCGCCCCACCCTCCCGCCAGCCACGGGCAGCCACGCACCCCTCTCTGGCTCTGCCTGACCTGGTCATTCCACACAGAGGACTCGGGCGGGCACGGCCTCTGCGTCTGGTCCTGCCGAGCACCACGTGCCGAGCTCCCCAACACTGCGCGGCATCGGGGCCCCGGTCCGTTTCACAGCTGACTCCCGGCTCCTGGTTCGTCTCCACTGTGTGCGCTCAGCACTGGGGAGCCGCCATCTGCGTAGGCACTTGGACTTCCCACGTTACTCTTTTTTTTTTTCCCTCATCTTTTTTTTGCAGAAGATTTTGCTATAGGGTGTGTGCGCTCACCAGAAAGACACAGAGAGACAGAGAGACAGAAAGTGAGAAATCACCCCCCAGGGGGTATGGCCACGCCACAATCCCTTCTCCTCCATTCTCCTCTCGGGATCTTGGGCACACACGCACACACGCCCCCCCGCCCAGTGTGAGTTTAAGCCGCCGGGTCCAGGACTTGAACCACAGTTGACTACATGGGAGTCCAGTGACATAGCCATTATGCCAACTGCTGGTCCCTCCACCAGCTACTCTTGTGAACAAGGCAGGAACCTCGTGTGGGGCGCCCGAGCCCTTGTTCTCGGTTCCCTGTGTATGCAGGAGACTCCTTTCTCTAAATTATTAACCTGCATTTACAGCCTCACTGCTGCAAACACCGCACAGCACACGGGGGTTTGGATGGACGGCCAGATGGCCAGAGGGTTGATGAATGGACGAGGAAGGATGGACGGCAGTTAGGTGGGTAGCGAATGGGTACCGAGTAGACGGGGGACCGGTGGCTAGACAGACACCAGAGCTGTGTGGCCCCCGCCCTGCTCCTGGCCACACGGCAGCAGCTGCAGACTTGCCGAGGGGCAGAGAGCTTCTCTAAGGCCTGGTCTGTGTCTGGACGATGTTCCCCTCCTCGGTGGTTCACCCTCCTGTCCTTGTGACCTGTGCTGTGTCTCCCAAGTGACACACAGCCCTTCCCCCCAGAGACCCTGCTCCCTTACCAGGATGTAGCTCCCCGGGTGGGCAGGGAACCCCCGGTCTCGGGGGGCAGGCTGGGAGCTGGGCTGCCTCCTGCGGCTGGCGACAGCCACGGGCTGCTTCTGAAACACAGAGGCTGCACCCGAGGAAGACAGGGAAGCTGTAAACCACAGACAAGCGCCTGCGTGGAGGACAGGACCCTGAGGAAGGGGCTGTATGAAAGAGGGTG